AGCGGTGGCAGCCCGGAGCAGGGGCGCGTTTTTCCTGCCCAGGCCCCAGCCGAGCTGCAGGAAGCAAGCCGGATTCGTTTGATCCTTTTTTTACTCACCTCTATCCACTCGCTTTTGGATTTTGAAATTCACCTCCCAGTTTAGAAATACGTGCGGCACACTGGAAATTAGACTAAGCCTGCTTAATACCCGTGGAGTATTGGCTTAAGAGTCGGTCATTTTCTTGCCGGTTCATCCAGTCTGTGAACCGGGTGAAGTAATTTCTTATGTTCCTGAAGTGTTCTTCTGGGAACGCTGCTCTGCCTGAATTGCTCAAAATTTTCGCGTGGGTAGACGTGCTGGTTGAGGCACGTGTTTGCCAAAGAAGGTAATGAAAGCTCCACGCTGTCTGGGTTGAGCTGGGAGTTTCTCAGAACAGCGTGTGGAGCTTGGCCAGCTTTTCACACAGGAGCTGAGAATACTCTCGCTAGGACGCATGTACTCTTCCATTGCCAGCCAGACATAGGAAAAACATGTTAGACAAATTAAATTCTGTTCTCTGCAGTGAAGCTGTGTAAGTTTTCCATGTTAAAATTTTTTTATTTGATTGTCTTACGCTCCCTGTGGAGGTTATAAAGAGACTGGAGAAACCTGCGCATTCTCATCCTAGGAAGAGAACATCTGAGCTGTACTTGTGGCTTTCATACTGCTTCTAGCAGGGTAGTTTCTTCAGCAGGGAAACTCGGGGCTATAGAACATAATTATGTGCTTTTGTAAGTAATACATATGATTGCTAGCTCTTGGGATTGTTTGTCATGTGTAGTGCTTGATTCTTGACAGATTCCTGCTACGTTATGTCGGGAGACAGTGATTGCACCAGGACAAGCCCATCAGCAGGGTCTCTATCAGACAATGAGCTCTTGCCAGATCGTCCAAAATATGTTTGCTCGCTATCTCCTGATCTCATTACCAAAGCCCGGGAAGAACTGCAAGAGAAACCTGAATGGAGGCTTCGTGATGTGCAGGCGCTCCGAGATATGGTGTGCAAAGACTATCCTTCCCTGGGGACCTGCCTGGACGATGCTTTTTTGCTAAGGTTCCTCAGAGCCAGGAAATTTGATTATGATCGAGCACTTCAGCTTCTGGTGAACTACCACACCTGTAGGAGGAGTTGGCCCGAGGTCTTCAACAATTTGAAGCCGTCCGCAATAAAGCCTGTGCTAGAGTCTGGTTTTGTCACTGTGCTGCCTCGCTTGGACCCAGAGGGACGCCACGTTGTCTGCATCCGCCCAGGTATTAAAATGCATGAATGTCGTCTTTCTCCGCCTTTGAGGTGTGTCGGGGCCAAAATTTATTTCCTGCTCTCCTTTGAAAGCTGGTTACTTATGCAGAGTACATGGGTTCTTTTTGAAATTTGAAAAGCTAGCTCGTGAAGGGACACGTTTGTCATTAGCCGACGTTATACCAATTCCTTTTCTTTCTTTCCTGTTTTAGCAATTACTGCAGTTGAGTAAAAACCCAAATGCAGTGAGGTGGGTTGAGGAAATTGTTAGGCAATTCAAGAAAAATTAATATGTAGTAACTCAAGTTGAAACAGGTCTGCTGTCCTCTAGTCAGAAGCTTGTAATCCGCTTTGACAATAAGCGGAGAGGGGAGCCTCTGGCTTTGACTCCAGTGGAAACAGTTTTTAACGTGCTTTTGGTGCTGCCAGGCTTGCTGCAAATTTGTCTTCACTCATTTTCCTCTTTTCCATTTACCTGCTTTCTTTCTGAGCTGAAGCTGCTTCTGATCTCTGCTGGGTGGAGAACGGGGTTCTTAAAACCATAAGGAGTAATGACCCTTTGCTCCTTGAAGGAAACATGAGTTGCCGTTTATCTCTTGCTTAAGAAAGGCTGCTCTGAATTAGGACTGTGGCTATTAAAGACTGACTTTTAAGAAACTAGGAAAATCAGGTTTTGGAATGTGTATTGTTAGCTTATATTTACTTTCCGACTTACCATCCATGTCTTGTAACCTCAGACAGATGGACACCCAGTAATTATCCGATTACTGAGAACATTCGTGCCATATACTTAACGTTAGAAAAACTCATTCAGTCCGAAGAGACCCAGGTGAATGGAATTGTAATCCTGGCAGACTACAAAGGAGTCAGCTTATCTAAGGCGTCTCATTTTGGTCCTTTTGTAGCCAAAAAAGTGATTGGAATTCTTCAGGTAAGACCTGAACTGGTGGGAAAATAAGCTTGTGCATTGTAAATGACTGCTTCTGTGTCTAGAGTTCTTGACTATGTCACCAGAAACTTAAGCATCTTGGCTTTCACTAGGAGAGTTAAAATACATCTCTGCCCAACCAGTTTCTCAGATCCTTGCTAACATATCATTTGCTGTTTTTTGACTTCTACATCCCCCAAGTCTAAATTTGAGTTAGAAATGCAGACTTTGAGTTGGAACAGAAAAAAGTCTATCCTGCTAGCTACATGATGAGGAAGAGAGCAGTGGATTACAGTTAAGGAGAAAGTGCGCTTTTGCCTGAATGATGACAAGTGATTCCTGTTATTTAAATGGTTCCTACCTAAAGATGTCTAAAACGCATCACTCCCCGATCGTTGGGTGAGTGCAAGTTCAAGTACTGCTGCAAAAATTTTGCAGAGATAACTTTTGAATAGGTGTGATTTGAGGAGAATTTCCATCTGGTCTCTGAGAAAGACAGGCTGCCTCAGCATTGAGGGGCGCAAGGAAGGCCAGCGAGAGACACTAAAAAGCATCTCAACAGTAGATGTTTGGAGGGAAAGTGATGGAGAACAAATTAGAGGAAGGGTATATGCACAAGTGGAGGTGTAACAAAACAGGAAGGTGAAAGGAGTGAGGAGTAACCTGGTCAAAGTGGCAGGAAGAACTGATGATTTTAGTTGTTGATCCACCATTCTAGCTGAAGGAGTGAGATGAGGAAAACTGCTCTTGAATGGGTTCTTTTTCTCATTACTTTTATTCTATTTTTATTCTAACCTGAGCTGGTTATGTTCTTTGTTGTATCTGTTGGGCTCATACAGAAAGATAGGGGGAATTGGGAGTTTATTGAGATGAGATTAGTGGGTTTATGAATAACTAAGAACTCATACTCCTTTAAATTATGATCTAAATGTTTTGTTAAACTGTCTGAAACTATATTTAATTTGCACAAATAAAGTGATGGGTGTCCTGCTATTATCAGTGGAGGCTATTAAAAGAACAAAAGAAGCTGAACCTGGGTGGAGGATGTAACATATTTATACACTACCCATACCTTTATCTCAGCCTAGCTGAGCTGCCTCTCCTGTAAAAAGGAGCCAAATCACTTACACTCATAAGGAGAAAAATACTGCTGCAGTGCATGCGTCTGCTCTTCAGTCTAAACATTGACTGGTTTTATTGTATACACGGAGCTGGTTATGGAGGAAAGAAGCTTCACTTAGGCATGTGGGACCTTAATTGCTGATTATGAGCTTTTGCTTTGGAAAAACGTTTCTGCAAATAAATCTTTTCAGTAGACATCCCCTACCTAACGTTTGTTTTAAACTGTCTTACGTAGAAGGCGCTGTGTGTGCTGTTGGCACCTGATCTGGTTGTCAGTCTTCTCTGACTGTATCAAAATGCAGGGAAGGGATCTGCTGTTGCAGAGCCTGTGTGTTTTCTGCAGGTAGCATGACAGAATAGCTGGAATGGCAGAGAAACAGTGCTATTAGATGTCCTCCTTGTATACAAGCATGTTTTAGAACAGCTCGGGCCTCAGATCCTGTACTTGGGAATGTCATTAGAACCAGCTGCTGGCTCTGAGGATGGTGCACCCGCTCCTCAGAAGCCAGGGTCGTTCACTTTGTAATGCTGCATCCTGATTACAGTTGGGAATACCAGGATAGCAACTGCCTAAGCAAGTGTTTCAGGGGACACGAATAGCAATGTAAGAAATGAAGACTTGGGGACAGCAGTATGTCTCCCAATCTAAGGTCACCATCTGTGTGCCAAGTTTTCTAGTCTCATTTTTACGCCCGCAGCTCTCCTCCTAAGGCCATTTCCTATCGCAAGGTGCACTTCTGTTGCTGTATCGGTTTATGTTGGCATCTCAGATGGAAGCTTGGGAGCCAGTGGGTTGTGCTGGCAGTCAGTCTCAGGAGAGTTTAAACAGAGAAAGATGGCAAACGTTTTTAAAACTGCACTATAAAAATCTTCTTTACCCTTCAGGATGGATTCCCCATTCGAATAAAAGCTGTTAACATCATAAATGAGCCTCGTATATTCAAAGGCATTTTTGCAATCATCAAGCCTTTTCTGAAGGAAAAGATAGCAAACCGGGTAAGGATTTGTGTCATTTTAACACTAATACTAATGTTAATGATAAGCTCCTCGCTTGGTACCTGCATGTAAAATTTGTTGAGAAAGCTCATGGCTGGAGAAAGCTTGGTGCCGTTTGCTTGATCTAACTGGCCCTTTTTGTGTTCTGGATCTCTTTATTTTTAAAAATATGGCTGTTGAGGAAATTCCTCATGACAGAGAGAAGGCTTTGAGGGATTTAATATCGGCCTAACGTTAATATGGCCCTTCAGTACATAATGTTACATATTCAAGACGTTGTATTTCAATCTCTGGGGTTGGTTTTTCTGGCCAAGTAGCACTGTGTGTTTAAAAGGTGGTGTAACAGGAAATTGCTGTGTTGCCCTTTCCTTGCTTTTCTCCTTTACGTGAGTGTCCAGGGCACTAGCATTCTCACCATAGGACTGGCTGTACCTGCATAGGATGATGCCTTTCTCCACACAGTTAAGTGCTTCCAGTCCCATGAATGAACTGGATACAAGCTCAAGTCAAAGCTCTGCACAGAAGAGCAAATCTAGATTCTCTCTTCTGGGGATTTAAGCTGCACTGGAGTTGGAATGTCTCAAATCTTCCCTCACAGATGTGTCTAACTGCACCTGCCCAGTGTTGTATGCTGCCACTTGCAGTCATGCACAGAAAGGCATTGGTTTTAACATTTGCTCTTTAACTCAAAATAAGCTGTTTAGTTGACTCTTTCAGTAATATGCTGTAAAATGTTTGATGTGCACTATTACAGCTTTTGTTGGCTTTCTTCTTTAGTTTTTTCTTCATGGCTGTGATCTGAATTCCCTTCATCAAAACATTCCTCCAGTGATCCTTCCTGAAGAGTATGGTGGTACTTCAGGGAAGCTGGACATCTCAGCCTGGAATCAATTGCTTCTAGCCTCTGAAGAGGATTTTCTGCATGATTTCTCACAGCTGGTTCTCCCATGTGACAGCTCTCCCCATGACATGCTAGTGAGTGGGGATGCTGATGAAAAGCAATGTGATGATTCTCTGCGAGGCATGAAACCTCAACTCTATTACTGTTATTAATCAGCCAGTGAAGGGACGCTTCCCAGCACAGTTAAGACCTCTTGTACTCTGATGATAAGTGATGTTGTGAACTCTGCCTTACTCCTAAACCTGCAGTTTAGGAACAGACTGCTGAGGCACTTTACACTAGAACCAAAGGAAGCTGAAGAGGGCACAATGGGGGCAAGGCAGAGTTTGTGGAGGATAAAGGCAAAGAGCACATAGCTGCCAAGTTATCTAGAATATTTAAGAGTTTGTTAACCTCTGTGTGAATGATGCCAACTGGCATATTCTTCCTAATGATAAGACAAAAGTATACTGCAGTAGGGTAAACTTGATAATGTCTCCACAACCATCTCCCCCCACCCCCAGGTGAAAAGTAACAACAATGATTTACTAGCTTGGTCATCTCTTCCCTTCTCTTCACCTTCTGAAAACACTGATAATCCAAGACAAGAAAACTACTTTTGCGCCCTGCAAAATGTAGTTCCGTCACTGGAGAGCACTTAAAGCAAAGTCTGTGCTCTATCACTTGGTCCAGATTGTGAGCTGGCTTTTCAGGAATATTTAAATGAATTTTTGGCTCATAAAAATGCAAAGTAAAACTTTCTTATCCATGGATGTCAGTATGGAGATTTTTCTACGAGCCTTTCTCACAGTAGGAAGAACTATACCTGGTGGACTAATTATTGCAACATTGATATCAAAACTTATTATAAACAGATGCAATCTCCATTTTCAGAAAAGAGTAAATTGTTCAGATCAGGTTCTGCAGCTTTTTGATTAGATTGTTTCAAATAACGAGGTTCAGGACCAAACGATAAAGAGCTATGTCAGTCACCTTCCCATGTTATCAGTTGCTCTTTCCTTTAGCTGGTTGTGATAAGGAACTCGGTAAGCAATTCATCAGTAGAATTTGTAAGGAGGCTTTGTAGCAGCTGCTGTATAATGTATAGAAGGCAATATTTCTTAAAAGAAAGCAAGGTGCTTCTTTAGCTGTGTTACTTTGGATGGAATTTGAATTCGAGTCTTTGTGAAACCAAATGCAGACAGGGTATTTGAAAGCACAGTCTTAGACTTCCAGGCGTTGTAGCATTTTGTTCGCTGTGCTTGTCTGCTCTTTTTGAAATGTTACAACTTTGGTTTCAGCTTTGTTGACCTCTTTTGTCTTTGGTTGTTTTGTTCCTGTATAGAGTTAACTTTAATCACCTCGCTAGTATTTACCCATAGCTTGTGGGCCTGTGCTTTTAGGTACTTGTCTAGAGCCAGAACCAAGACTACAGTGTCAAGTCAGGGTAAGATATCCTGTGTCTGAATAAGCTGTTCCCACTTCCCAAGTCCACTCTGTTTAATGGTCGTGAATTAGAAATTAACTCTCAGCACACTCTTTGCACATGGTTTTTCTGCACTAAACTAGTGCAGAGATGGGAAACCTCACTAGGAAAGAAGAAAAGCACACCCGACTATTTCAAGGTGAAATATTTCACTATTTGGTGAAAAAGAACAACCCTTCTAATTGGAAACCTTATCTCTAGAGCACTTTTTTCTGGCTGAAATCTTTATTTTGTGCCAAGTATGATATAGGTACCAGTTATGTTTTGTAAACATAAAGCTATAACATCTTGAGGAGTTGAGACATTCATTTTTCAAAGTGCCAAACTACTTTGAATGTCTTTTTTTCCTCTCAGTCCCCCTACAGCATGGTTATGTTGCCAAAAAAAAAAAAAAAAACCCTCCACCACTGTAGTAATGACTTTCTGACCTGGCAGCAGACCTCATCCTGGAACAGGGGGATGGCAGATGCCAGGCTTGTCATCCAAGCATTATACAAGGAGACCAGGTTTTGAAAAGGAAGAAAGCATGAAGCTTTTTCCTGAATGGCAGTTCATAGTTTTAATGGGAGCGAAGAACTCATCACTTCAACTGTTTTAGAACATAGGTAGGAAGAAAGAAATCTTCCCCACTTCAGGTCTGATTTTTCCTACCTTTATAATTCAAGTATTACTCTTCTTTGACAGCTATTACCTTAAGTGCAGGGGAAAAAAAAAAACACATATCACTTTTTGATGCTTAGGATAAAAGCAGAAATGCACTGCTAGCTGCTTCTTCCTCATTTCTGACCAGAATCTGCTGCATGTTTTGCTGAGATTAATTCAGTTCTTTGTGCCATCTACCAAGACATTAGCCCAAAGCACCAGGACTTAAACAGTCTGGGTAGGAACTTATCTTTCTTAACTGCCAGGCAATAGATATCGATGTTTATATTGCTTGAGTGACTATTAATTCCAGCCACCATGTACAATTAGAAAACAAAAGTAGGATGGAACATTTTTCTGAGAGGTGAAGATGTGACTGGCATTTGATAGTCCTTCATTAATTTTGTTAAAGGGTTTGAAGTGGTGGTATTTTGACAGCTCACCTACAAGTACAGCTACTTTGACCCCCTTAGGGTAATGACTGGAGAAGGAAGTTGAATATTCAATTTAGTATCTTTAACAAAAGAAACCCCCAGGTGTTTAGCAGGAGGCTGCACCTGAGGAACATCTACAGAAACTAGGCCTCCAGGCCTTTTTTCAGGCTTTTATGTTCTTTCATGCCTGAAATGATAGGCAGACTAGATCTGTCTACCCTACCTTCTCTCCTGCTCACGGAGAAACTAAATCACTTGCTTTATTCTTAAACAGGATGAACGTATGTTATTCAAGCTGAAAATAGCCTGTGTTACCTCCAGAACAGCTTGTTCCTAAAGCTAGATGCTTTAGAGTTGATATCAGGATGCTGGAACTAAGCCAGGTTTACCTGTGTCAAGCATTTTCTTCTAGGTTTGGCCTTTTTGGCTTTAGAACTTAAATAGACAAAGCAGCATCTTCATTCAGCTGTATCTCTAACCCTTTCTAGGTTTGTAACAGCACAGTTCTGTCTTACATGCACCTGACTACTGAGTTGAAAGTGCTCTTTGAGCACTTACTAGCAAAGAAATCAGTTTTGTCCCAAAATTTCTCATGTCAGCATTTGGAAAATAAACACTTGGTTTAGGTAGAGGCTCCTCATCTGCAGGTTAAGAGTAGATAGGAAAAGCTATTTAACTCCCAGCTCTTCTTCCACAGCACTAAAACTGATATGATCTTTTTTTTCTACTTGAAGAAACTTTAACTGTTTCCAGAGGTTCTAAGCTTTGCCTAGTACCTAAGCCATTCCTGCCAAATTCAACACACAATAAGGGAAGGTACTCAAACTGCATTGGGCAGCCATGGCTTTTGGCATTACATGGGATAAAATTTAGCTGCATATTGTAAATAAAAGTACTTGAATTTATACTCTTATAAATGGGTGTTACAAACCCTGAGGTATTCTCAGGAAAGTGGGTGATGTGTGTGTTGGTTTTTTTTTAATCTCATTTTGGCATGAGTTAATTATAGTGTTGTTCAAGCTAATAATTTTGCCTTCTGTTGTATGTGGGCCTAAAGGTGTTGGGTTAAGTGTACATCTTATTTTGACAAAATTTATTTTTATATTGCATTTTATAAAATAGAGTGGTCAAAATGTGTAATTTTATGCTGCATGACTGAGTAATTAAAAATGCTATTGTAACAGCTGCTATTTTGATACTTTAAATATGTTCACTTTGTGTCATCTTGTTGTATTTTATTGTAAGAGTGGATAGCAGCATGTAGTTAGTGCCACACTAAACCCAGTTGCAGCCAAGTATGATTGCCACAGCCTTATAGAAGTTGTTTTCTACTACAGTACTAAATTTTACTTCCTGAACAACATCAAGAAATTGGATTCAACATTCAGAGTCTCATGGAAGATGCAGTTTGTTTCCAAAGAAATACAGTACTGACACTATGACTGAGTAGTTGCTGCGTGGAGAAAACATCCAGTCATGTCACCTTGCCCCTGTAGAGGCTTTTAGCATTTTAATCATGATTTGTCATATCTTGCATGTGGAGAATAACTGCCCTAGTCCTTAACACCTCTCAAAAGAGCTAAGACAGCTTCAGTAGTTAGTCTGTTTTATTCAAATGAGTTTACAGTGCAAATGCTTTAGTGCCAATAATGATCACTTCATATGCATTACCTCTTACAAGCATACCAGACAAGTGAAAATTAATGAGGAGCTCTGTTTTTCCATCATAATCATGAAGTTGTTTAAGCTAGTCATACACTTACCACTTAATATTTGGCAGACATACTAAAAAAGAAGTTACCATAGATGTTGTGTCTCTGAAAGGGCAAGTTTGTTCTTAAAAACATAAGAGTTAACATCTTTTCAACCTTAAAGTTGTGCTCTTCTGGTGAGAAATAACAAAAAAAAACTAAAAAAAAAACTTAATTCTTTTAACTGTAAGACAGGAACATAAGTCTCATTGAAATAAGCCTTTGCAGTGGAATGTAGAAGTTATGCAATATGGCTTACAATTCCAGGAACTGAAGCATTAGTACAGCAGTGCATTATGCTGAATATAACTTGTTCTTTAAAATATATTACTTCATATTTAGCTAAATGTTACTTCTATTCAATATTAAGGTTGGGGCTATTGGACAGTACAGAGTAGAGGGATGTGCTATGACAGCACAATTATAGTGAATTTAAAAAAATAAAATAACCATGGCTGAAGGTTAACATGAAGATAATTGATCATAATTTTCATCCTGCATCAAGCATTGTGCAATTCATTAACTTTCTAACCACCTGCATGTTAATATGACTATAAGACAAGACAGTATTTGCCTTAATAACTAAAGCAATACATGAACATTTTGGCTTTCAGCAAGAAGTTCCCCACTTTTGTGCGCTCAGAGAGATGCAGCCATTTAACTGAAGTCCCGATTAGTAAGGATAAGAGGAGCCACTAAGGTCCAAAGATAGAGAAGGAGACACACCCAGCTGGAGGTTATCTTCACCCACACGGCTGGCCACTTACTTGTCATTGTTTTAAAATCTGCATCAGGGCTAGAAAGTAAAGAAATCAATTACTACATGTTTGAGACACCTTCCACTCTTCTTTGCTACTGCTCAAACCAATCTGAAATTGGGAGAATCATTTGGGACGCTTCAGTAGCTTTGTGGGAGCACGGTGAGACAACTAAACCAACCACTGCCCATGGCTTCGCTGTAGACCTCTTGCTCTTGCCACCCAGTTTTCAGAACAGACCAGCTTGTATATGTTGATGTACTACTCTTATTGCAAGGTTTGCTTTAAGCTATGCAATATTTTAGATTCCCGATAGCAAATATGCTCACAGAGCAGCAGCTATTCATACAAGAGCCCAATGCCCTAATCCTGGGGAAAGCTAGTATAAGCTGCAGCTGCAGAACATACATCCAAGTGCTCCCAATAGATCTAGCCAAATATAGCTCTGTTTGTTTAAGAATCATATATGGCTGTCCCTGCACATCCTTCCAGTCCTAGGGTGAAAAGCCAGTAATGTTAGGCTAGACTCTCATAAGCTTCCCAGGCCACCTCAGGCCAATTTCACATACATCCTTCCTCTTGCCTGCATAGCTGGAGGATGGTAATCAAACTTTCTGTTCTCTTCTGTCCTTGCAGCTGTGAAGCAATCTGCCAGGACTGCAGCTGTTGATTTTGCTGTTTTGTATAGGGTGTTTTTTTTAAAGTCTGAATTCAGCAACACAAAATAGCCACAGTTCTAATGCAGCTGTCATAGGAACCTGAAACAGCTTGGCGTGAATGGACTATAGAGCAGGAATCACCTAGCCACCTAGAAATACTGGCTAGCACATACAGGCTATCACTTTCTGTCTTGTTCTTACCTGTACCAGTTTGTGAGCGTCATCATAATGTAAAGAGAGGCAAGAAAGAGCATGAAGTGAAAGAAGGCATAGCTGTACTGAACTCCCTCCTTCTCATTATCCATGACACGGCGCACTTCTCCGTCCTCTGCAGCCCCGCTGCCTGTTCCCACGGTCTCCTCCAGAATGGCACTGTCACTCCCAGACAGCGTAAGCTTGTTCACCTGGCTGTTACTTGAAGAGCGGATGCTGCAGCACAGCCCAAAGAGAAGCATGATTAAAAACCTCACTTTTTAAAAGTTAGCCCTATGTTTGCTAATAAAGCAGGCAACAGATCACATGAATGTCTGGGACTAGCAAATAACGTTTTTTTAAAATCCATCTGGAAACATAAGAAAGCTCCTTGAAAAGATCTGTTTTCATCTGAGCATTCTTTAATCTAATTAAGCAGTGTTCCCAGTCCAAGCCTTGTAACACATTTTGTTTTCTTTGAATCAGGCTAGTAAAGCCTTTTATTAGGTGGTCTCAGACCAAAACCAAATATAACTAAGTTGCACGTCAGTAAACGCAGTTACATTTTGCCCTGGACCCAGATTCAAGTGAAAAAAGCAGAAAAATCCCAATTTTTTTTTTTAATCATTTGTAAGCAATACAGATCCTACCTGGAATACAAGAGGCAAAGGACAAAGATAACTAAACCAACAATACTCTGTGCATCCCACCACTGTAAGGACTTGGGTGGAGCTGGAGTAGCAGGTAGGACAGTGGTATTCACTGGAACAACTGTGGGTATAGCTATCTGTGTAATGATGTTCAGCAAACTTGGGTTACAGTTTCGTTCTGAAAGGAATTTAGAGGCAGATTAAGAGATGAGCTTTGACAGCACGTAGCTAAGAAAAGATGACAGATAACTTGCAATGTATCATTTGCTTTAACTGCTGATCTCTTTAATTCTCCAGAGGCAGCACTGGTATGGAATATTTTTCATTTGTGTGAGTTAGGCAACGGTGTACTACAAAACCAATCAGAATACCTTGACGCTATTTCCTTTCCCCTCACTAATAGCCCCAGCTTAGTTCTGGAAAGAAGCAATTCAATGGTTTTAGTAGAATCAGCTTTACTCTTTCTCACTAGATGTTATCTAACCAGATGATCAGCAATGCCCAACACAGTGATCTGTAATAACGATATGCCCCATCAACGGCTTCTACTTTCACACCAAAACGTTACTCAAGACAACCAGTGGCTTACCAGGCTCATTAGACATGGCTGACCAAGTGAGATACATGGTGTAGAGAGTGATAACAGAGGACTGGAGGAGGCCAGAACGAGGCTGATGTTCCTGTCCAAAGAAAGACAGAACCACCCAAGGTCAAAAGGGCAAGTTTTACCTACAGTTGGACTTAATCCCCATTGCTATGGATTTAACGATTATTAACACGGAAGAAAAACTTTGTTTTTTAGAAATGCACTGGGCTTTGATTTATGTTTAAAAGACATGTAGAAACCCCTTAGAGTGATACAGTTTATACAAGTAACTCAAATATGAAAAGATTAAAGAATGAATTAAAGATGAAAATTGAGTTTTTTTGTGCTTCAGACCCAGTTCTTACAGCGTTAATCCCAACTTGCTTAATGGTTTCGTAGATATGAATCTAGCACATGATTTATCTGAGAAATATCCAGTTCAAAATCAAGGAACATGCAAGCTTCCTATTGATTTTAAACACTTTTATCCATATTTTGGAAGCCACAGTATTAGGCCAATAACTTCCCAGCTTGTTTTGCTCTTTCCTAAGGGTTCTCTCTGTCCCGCGAGAACCTCAACTACTACAGCTATGCCAGCAGTGCCCTCCATGGAAACAACGCTCAGCACTCAAAACGACGTTAGCCAAAAAAAGCCCATGTACAGGAAATACATCACTACATAGCGCACTGGTTTCAGAGCAAGATATTTTTAAATGTTCTTGGCTAGCATAGCTATGACAACCAAACTTTAAAGTTCTTATGTCTGGCTGAATCGGTACAACCACGTGACATCCCTGCTTTGCATTTCTGAAGAAAATAAAATAATACCTGAACTTTTGGAAGGATAGAAACAATGGAGACAGCAATGCACAGGATCATATTAATGCTTATGAAGAACTTGTTCTCAGTGCAGTCCTCAGGTTTCGTGTAGAAAACATAGAAAAGCACAACAAAAACCAGTGACAAGGCGTAGAACAAGCTTGTACAGGACAGCAGAGCTGGAGGGGGAAAAAAAAACCCATTACAATCAGGGTTTAGTTTGGCAATACAATACATCTAAGGTGATCTAATGGTTAACTACCACCCTAAAGGGACAGTTCTCCCTTCCTCACTTGGAAGTCTGGTTCAGAAAGCTGGACTGGCAGAATGTGTTATGAGGCTAATTTCCTGTTCTGGCTCATCAGGTACGCTAGCTCAGAGGAAAGACAACTATTGGCAACAGAGGAATAGGACTTGTGTTTCAGCTGCAGCTTAATTGGTTTAACTATTGTCAAGCCACACAGTGTCAAAAACGAGTGCTTTTTGCACACTTTAATGGGATATTTACAAGCCCTGAATTTCCCCTTCTATGCTACAGGCCATCTATTTTCATTTCCATTCTGCTGTATTCTTTATAAGAAACCACAACATGCTGACGCAGTATTCCAAGCCAGGAACAAAGAACCACAAAAATTGGTACTTTGTATTTGCAATGGTCAGCTGCAAGCTGAGGCAGGCTTGCCACTGTTGTACAGCCACCATCACCGACGTAAATAACTCCCTGAGGTATGGTAGGTGGCAAAGCAGAGTTAGAACTTTAGAGCGCTAGGCTACTAGTTCTGCACTCCCACTGCAGGTATGCAAACTGGACAAGAAAGTTGAGCGCTGCTTATTATGACTACCAGATCTGCCAGGCATAAGTCTAGAATATTTTGCATTTTATTTACTGAGAACAGGGCAATACTGCAGCTATTAATTCCAAATACTTACTCAAGGAGGCTGTACAGTGTAATTCTAGGATATGTTTGCAAACTAGTAAGTGACATTAGGCAGAGTACTGGCCAGCAGAAACAAATCCTTTCCAGTTTCAGATTCCTACCTGCATACCAACATTTAGAATTTCCCTCCTCCATTCTCTCAACCCAGCTCTCATTCCAGGAGTGAGCAAAGTCCACAAGAAGCACTAACTGGATAAGAATGAAGCAGAAGGCTCCACAAACACCAATAGCAAACCAGGCTAGAAAAGAGAGCAAGAAAAACAGGGTTAAACGCTAGCATGCACACGCTACCTTGGAAAGAACTAGCTCCTAATTATACTGCAGAGGAACAATGAAAAAACTGAAGCTATATTTAGAAATGCAGATGCTATTATTCACTTTGGCCTCCATCCTACAGAAGCACGCAAGGAATCTCAGCTTAAGGGGGCAGCCTATGCCAGTCAACCTGAGCATGAGAACGTGTAGCGCAACATGTTTTCAGAATGAATTCAAGACATCTTTGCGTACCTAAGCACCATCACGCCGCATTTCTTTGAGAATCAACACAATTCTCTAGACTCTTTGAGAATGAACAAGATTTTCTAGCTAGACAGTAAAAGTTTCTTGCATAAATTTGTCAGGGACTTTGGGAAGTATTCAGCACTCGTCCCAGACAGTGTGCTGAGAAGCCTCTAATCTAAACAGTGACAGAACATTCAATCCACCAGTGGTTGTGTCATGGAGTACTCAATTGTTAATACACAGCACGTATGCACTTGAAAATATATTGCTTAACCCCATTACTTCAGTTGGTCATCAAAATATTTGGTGACCCAAGATACTGTAAAGAAATAGGACAGACTCAGAGTCTCCTACAAGACAACTTTCGCTATCACAACTATAGCCTGGTAAGTCTGCGAGAAGTTTTGAGTTTATTAAACAGCATTCTACGATTATGTATTAACTGTACCTCTTGTGAAAGGCCCTTCAGGAATGTAAAAAGCTCCAACCATGATACCCACAATGGCAGCTATTTTGAAGAACCAGAACCTTTAACAGAAGAAATTTGAAAACGTTGGTCTTACTCTGAACGCAATAGCCACGTTTCACATGACCTGTAAGTACCTTGCTTTACATAGACAGGCATAAAACAAAAAGTTGTATTCAGTGGGATTACAGGTAAAAGCGCTCACCAAACTGAGGGGAGGCATGGTCAATACTTTGGAGAAATGGGCTGACAGAAACCTCATGAAGTTCAAAAAAGAAAAAAGCACAGTCCTGCACCTGGGACAGAATAACCCCATGCAACAGGACAGGCTGCGGTCGACTGGCTAGAAAGCCACTTTGCAAAAAGAGCAGATTGTGCTGGACAACAAGCTGAACATGAGTCATAGCACATCCTTGCAGCAAGCACAGCTAACTCGGCAATGTTCAGCCTGGAGAAGAGAAGGGAGATCTAATTGCTGTCTTCCACTACTTAATAGGATGGTATAGAGAAGACAAAAACAGACTCTTGCTGGAGGTGCACAGTTAAAGGACTAGAGGTAACAGACAAGTTGGAAAAAGAGAATTTACAATTACATATTGGGAAAAATTGAAAGGGGTTGCCAGAGAGGCTGTGGAATCCCCATCCTTGGAGATGCTCTAAACTTTACTGGACAAGACCCTGAGCAACCTGCTCCACATTGGCCCCGCTCCGACCAGGTGGATGGATCAGATGATCTCCAAACGTCCCTTCTGACCTAAATTATTCCATGGTAATTTAGTAATCTGACCCCAAACCAACCCAGTTAAATCAGCGGGTAGTTTCTGCTGGATAACCGAGTCAGATGGGCTCAGCGAATGGCCCAATGAGTGCTAGTCAGCATAAGGCAGAGGATAAAATAACCAAACACCTAGCGTCTCTGTGGAATCAGAAAGGGGTAACAAGAGCTCTCCTTGCTTTTGGTTACCCAATTTCAGAGTATTAGCAATGATGTCTAGCTTCATTTTATCAGTACACTGAACACGTAACATGAGTAGAAAGTCTTTTATGAGACTGAAGCATTAGTCTGCATTTAATTCAAAAGACACTTAAGACTATCAACGTACGCGTAAGCGATTTGCTGCTGTATTCTGCAAGGAAGCTTAAGAGAGGAGAAAGAGAGGAAACAAGTTAGAAGACAAGACAGCTAGCTTACAAACATACCCATTGTGCACTGAGGCTCTTGGATCATTACTTGTTTTCACTTCTATCATGAGCAGAGAGAAGAGAAAGAAAAACACTGCCATGGCAAAGCTGATTCGATAGACAGCTCTGTATCCAACAAACACATCACAGCTGACAAAGCCATTCATATGCGGTATCCGAGTATGAAGCCCCTCATCACAAAATCCAGGCACCTGAGTAAAGACACATTTAGTCGTGAAATAACTTCTGCATTTGCAATTACGTTTTTCAAGCACTCAAACAGCTAAGCTTCTCTGCCAGCTCCCTTCTCGGAGAACTGCTAACATAAGGCTTTGCGCTCAGCCAGCCAGCAGAGACCTTCTTATCATCTTCCTTTTCCCATATCATCACTAAAAACATTCGGGAAGATTAAGGTATCAAAGCTGCAGGCCTACGATAATGACTGGCATTTTCCTGGTCTGGTCTGGTCAAGTTTCAGAGACCAGGCATGTACTTAAAAACACACACTCATTGTTTCAGCTAGAAGCCATTCAGTACGTGTTGTCTCTTAACTCGGGGTCATTCCCATCTCAGAGAGCACTAACTGGGTTTTCGCGTCTCTTGTGTAAACCATTCCAAGCACAAAGAATCAGTAGTCACCAGCACAAGCCACGGTTTGGCAAACAGTTTGAAAGAGGTTTTCCCCTCCATACCTTTTTCAACTGCTCTTCCATCCCCGGCGCCAGCATAATGCAGGCAACAACCGTGCTGAGGAGGAGGAGGAAGGCATAGATGAGGCGCGTCACGGTGGAATTCTTGCTGTTGGGACAACATCGGCACAGCAAACAGGAGGCTCCGCTGCACAGACAGGGGATCTGAAGGACAGACACAGCAATAGCGAGGGCATCTCCCCGCGAGCTGCCGCCGGGGGAAAACCCACCTCCCGGACGAGCTCTCTCTGGAGACGGGTCCGCTGCTCGGTCACTACGGACCGCACAGAGAACCGGATCGATCTGGGCTCGGGGCCGGCGGCGGTCGGGCATCACCGGGCTCACCGGCCGGGGG